ACCCCTATCTTGCTATTAGGGATATAATCATATGTCAGATGCCAATGTATCAGTTAATTATAATATCAATGCAGTATCGATACAAATTGATGACTACCGATTTACTCCCACAGAACGGTTTATATGTATTATGATTACCGTGGTTAAGATGGACAGTGAAAAGGCAGAAGATTTATCTTTAAACATTTAATGGTTCAGCCTTACATACATGATTAATACTAGTATTAATCAATATATATATATATCGATATACATCGCGATACTTTGACCCGTGGTAAAAATCATTTGTTGCAGTTGTGATAATTAGAACATACAGAATTCAGTCATGTTTACATGAAATCAGTATCAAAGTTAGACGCTTTGTCCGTGGGGTAAGATACTTAAAGAATTACTATTCTGCTTGAAATGTCTCTGGCCTGGGGAAATAGGCAGATACTTGGAATGCTGAGAGGACTGAGAAAGATTAACTGATATGGTTTGAAATATAACAGTGATTAGTTGCATATGTTCGGCTTGAAAGAATACTAGCTGACCGTGTAGATTTGATGATACTTTCTGCAGACAACACAGAATCAAGCATGTGATCAAAAGCTTTAGAACAGAATAAGAAATTGTTATACAACCTCACATGACCTCAACACATTTTTGACCGTATAATATTCAAGTAGGGTTGTAACAAAATATTGTTTGACAGTCGGCGATAAAGAGTTGACTTCTTTGTGGACTGGCAGTAAATCAGAGGGAGGAAGTATGTCACCCGGCCACATACCTACCTGAGCTTTCAAGTTGCTGGCCTAGCAGGTCATGTAATGACAAAGTGGTCGCAAATTGGCGTCTCGTGAGTGTTTCTGGGCAAAATGTCAGCCAACTAGTTAGCTTGGCATGTCCCCCTTGAAGATCCAGGTTAGACTTGATCTTCAGCAAGCCTGCTTGTCTATGAGGTGACTAACGAGATCGGGTGGTCAGACTTGTGGATTTGGTGCTTATGATATCAATCCCTGGATTGTCTTGTCCAAACTTGAATATTTTTAATCTGTCATATCGCTGGAATATTGGGGAGTGCATCATTAAGCACCAATCAAGCAAATGTAACAGGTTCCTGTAGACTTGGTCCCGCACAGGGGGCCCTGTCGTCTCCAACATTATGCTGTTTGTTTGTTTGTTTGTTTGTTGTTTAACACCGCACTCAGCAATATTCCAGCTATATGACGGCGGTCTGTAAATAATCGAGTCTGGACCAGACAATCCAGTGATTAATATCATGAGCATCGAGATCCACGCAATTGGGATCGATGACATGCATCAACCAAGTCAGTGAACCTGATCACCCAATCCCGTTAGTCGCCTTTTACGACAAGCATAGTCACCTTTTACGGCAAGCATGGGTTGCTGAAGACCTTTTCTACCCCGGATCTTCACGGGTCCAGACACGCCATGATATATTTCTTGAATACTGTTCAAAGCAGCATTAAGCTAAACTCACTCACTAACTTCTCTTGAGTAGCATATGTCAATAATTAGGGAAATATTTGTTTAACCAGTCAGTTAATGTGTCATCTTACATTCCATGCATACGAGAAAATATTCTGGTGGTTTATGTTCCAATGGCTCAGCAAGTCTGGAGCTATAAATATTTTGTCTGTCACATACAATATATTGCTTGCTAAACTAGGTCTTTGTTTGATAAAGTCAGTGGGATTTTGTAATAAATGTCTGAAACCTGCATCACTTCAGGCTTTCTCCCACATTAAGCTGACAGGCTGTGATATAACTGGAATACTGTTAAAAGCGACGTTAAACCCAATTCACTCACTCACTCACTCACTTGGTCTCCTCAAACAAACTCCTTTGACTTGATCATTTACAAGCTGTTGTCATGTGACCGGAATATCGTTGAGTGCAGCATTAAACAATAAACACACAAACTGACAAAGTTAGTTATGAATCTTGTGTTTGTTGACAGATATGTGTAGGGTAAAGCACCTCCATGGGTTTTTATGATATTTATCATCGGCATCCACGGGATAAGGGTTTGAAGTATCATAATAACCCAAGGGGAAGTGTTTTCTCTAACTTATGAAACGAAAAAAGAAACTTCGAACAGTGTTTATCAACATTTTTATTCCCCTCCCCTACAAAGTTGGCAGGGAATATTGAAATGGGTTCCGTCCGTCCGTGCATGTGTGCGTGTGTCTGTGCATCCCGAAATCGTTTCCGGAGCACAACTCAGAAACCATTAAATATTTCTGTATGAAACTTTGCATGTCTATCAGACTCATGGTTCTATGAGGGTGCTGTTCGTTTCCGGGGGGTAACTAAAAAAACGTTAAATACTTTCTTACAAAACTTTGCATGTCTACCAGGCACATACTGAACTGGTACCTTTTGATATTTAGCACTTTTAGACATTATGTTTCCATGACAACAAGTTGGATTTAAGTTTTAATATAGGGTGGGTTCACTTATGGAGTACAACAAATAAACTGTTAAATATTTCCTTGCCGAACATTGCCTGTCTATATATAAAGCACATACTGAACTGGTGCAATTTATATCAAGGAGTTTTAGAAATGTTTATTTTAGAATTTCCATTGCAGCTATTTTGACCAAAAAAAATTTGTTGTCTGTAAACAGTGTCCTTCAGAATTGATAGATTTAGTTGGGAAAATCTTCAAATTGAATCTAATCCATTGGAACCTAATTGGAATAATGTGATATTTATTCAAGCAATTTTCACATAAGTGCTAACACCACCAGCCCCCATAGGAAGCATGACCAGAATTTATATACCTATGCTTATCTAGGGCCCCTTCCTTGCCAGTAGGACCTCAGGTATGGATATTTAGCCAATTCTTGTCATACTGTCCTTGTATCAACGCATTGTTAACACTCATTTGGGGCTGATACAGAATGGAAACTTGGCCCAAATTATGTATATTTTCCTTCTTGGTATGATCTGTCATTATTGACTCTAGTTTGGGGCTGAATAAACACACAGCAGGGCTCTGATTGAGCATTGTTATGGCATTCTAATGTTGACAGTGGTCTGGTGAGTTCCCCTTCAAATGTATTCAGGTCATGATGACTTTGAACCATTTCCTTGGGTATTATCTGTTCTCCACCAGTCCAAGGAAGGAACTTTGAACTACAGCATCATGGGTATTTTTTCAACAAAATGTCAACACACAACAAAACTTCATCAAGGAAAAATTGTGTCTGATTTATAAATAAGAAAACAGTGTTAGAAACTAACATGTTTTGTCCTCTAGTGCTCATAATGATAACATTTAGCAAAACCCTTAAAAATGGCAAACTTCTACTCGTCCTTATGATACCTTAACTTTTGGGCAGTTTGGCAAGGACTACAGGACTGGTGCCAATTTCTGACACTGAAAACCAAACTCATTTTACAATCAGAAGGTGGATTTTTATCATTTTGAAGGTGAATATGTCAACAGCATATTTAATAACTGTTATCAGACTTATGTTTTCCCACAGACAATGATATGCTGCAATGTCCTTCTTGACATATTTTAATGGTTTTGTTTCCAAGTGTGCTAGGTGAGTGGGTCGTGCTGTGAGACATCACTCACAAAGTCTGGATTCTATTCCCCACAGTTCAGGGATGGTATGCTAGGTGAGTGGGTCATGCTGTGAGACATCACTCACAAAGTCTGGGTTCTATTCTCCACAGATGAGGGATGATGTGCTAGGTGAATGGGTAGTGCTGAGAGACATCACTCACAAAGTCTGGGTTCTATTCTCCACAGTTCAGGGATGGTGTGCTAGGTGAGTGGGTAGTGCTGAGAGACACCACTCACCAAGTCTGGGTTCTATTCTCCACAGTTCAGGGATGGTGTGCTAGGTGAGTGGGTCGTGCTGTGAGACACCACTCACAAAGTCTGGGTTCTATTCCCCACAGTTCAGGGATGATACTCTAGGTAAATGGGTAGCCATTAAACATCCCTCACCAACTGAGTTCTATTCCCAGTTTGTACTCTCCCAGCATGTTGTAACAATATTGTCGAAATAGTCACAAAACCTTCTCACTTCTCAGCCTCTTTACCCAAGTCTCGTCGTCCAGTCCAACATGACAACCCACATCGTTAGTGTAGGCAAAGTGGGTGGGTGGTGACAGATCTGTCTCAGCCTGGGGCAGTTTACATAGCGGCCACCTTGATGGAGTAGTCACAATCTCCACAGCAGCTTGCGGCCATTACAACCTCGACCTGTTGGACAGGGATAGAGAACGTTGTTTGTGTAAATATTTGAGGCGATATTTGATTGACTATGGAGTTTGTAGTGACATTTTCCAATTGCTGGCATGAAAGATAGATTTGTTACAACAAGAACCATGTTCCCTGATTGGGTCCAGGGTCGGACTTGCCCCCTACCATGCAGAGGTGCCATTATCCAAGCAATTTTGTGATGATAACAGAATTTTGATGGCAATGTCAACTATTACAGAATTATTTTTAAAAACCTCAGTTTGTTTTAAACTCGTTGCATTGCATGTAAGTGTCTTGTAAATGAACATGACATCCAGTCCGGAAGTACGCTGTAGCGAGTTTGTAATTAATGTTACTTTAAAAAATAACGAAATAAATAAAAGCTGGTCAGGTTTGGTGACTTGGTTGATGGCGTGTGATTATAGCCTGACTGCATGGATCGTTGTTCACTTTATTAACCACTGGATTGTCTGGTCCATAGCCAGCCTGGAACATCGGGGACCGGTGGGAGATATTAAATTATTATTAATATATTTACACAAACAGTATCCAAAACTAGGCACTCACTCACTCACTCACTCACTCACTCACTCACTCACTCACTCACTCACTAACTCACTCACTCACTCACTCACTCACTCACTCACTCTTTAGTATTTGTACACCAAGAGCAAGAACAAAACTGACCACAGTTTGAAAAGTAGTATTTTAGAGAGCATCGAATATTTGCCGCATGTCTCAATAATTACCTCCATTGTTCGCGTGTTTCAGATCTTGAGAACAGCAAGGAATACAAGGATATGATAGAAGAGGCCGAGTCTCGGTCCTCAAGGGGCTCGGGCGACGGTCGCCTCCCAGTCCTCAAGTCACCTACCGGGAGTTTTCGGGACAGCACAGACAATGATGACTTCCTTCAAAAAGTGTCCAAGTTCGAGATGATCTCACGGAAATCCTCCACCTCATCTGCTAAGAGCCCCGGACCTCGCTTGTCGGATGAGTTTTCGGGAAGTGACAGCGGGTCTGGAGCCCACCCTCACGTCGGTGAAAAAATATTTACCCGTGACACTGCCACCACACGTGTTTCCGCGAGTGTCCTTCACGGAGGAAGCTCGGAGAGAGTCGCGAGTACTTGCAGCACCAAAAGTTCTAGCTCATTGACTAGCGTGAGCACGCTCAGTTGGAGCTCAGACTCTTCAGGGAGTTCAAGGTCACTACGAGCCTCATCGTCATCAGGAATTGGTCAGTCTCCACATTCTCCAGGTGTCATCACCTCTCCAATACAAAATCAAAGCCATGTTTTCAGTCCTTCTGTTGAGGAAAATGGGGCAAGGGAAATACCTCCACTTGTAAATGGACGAGTTCATAAAAAGAATGATATTAACTTAAGTGGCCATCGGGATACGTTTGATGGCATAGATTTCGATATCCGTGAACTGTCTGCTAGTCAAAAGGATTTAACGATCCGTCACCAAGAACAGGTGGAGGAACGGAAAAAGGAACAGGCGTTAGAAAAGCAGGAACGTCAGCGTCTAGAGGACATTCTAAGAATGTGTGAGGAATATGAACTACAGATTGAGAAAGAGAAACTAAGCATTGATCCTCAGTCACCCTCTAAACCAAAATCCCCAGAGACCAAAATATCAGCCCAACGGAAGCCCTTGCCGCCAGGCTTCCTGGAAGTCAGTTCCGCCGACGCCAACACGCTTGATAGGAAAGATCGTGTTGATGGGAAAAGTTCAATGACCAAAATCAAAACCAATGGATCTCTAATGTTGTCGTCCCCTAGCAACCCTCACAAAGACGGTCTCTTTAGTTTCCAGATGAGGAAATGTGAGTCCAACTCCTCCAACTCCGAGGAGGAGGTGTGTGGCAGTTCAGAAGAAACAGGCACCATCAAACGTCGACCTCAACACGAAGGGAACAAGTCTCCACTGTCACAATTGGAAGAATCACCAAAGAACCAAGCATCTTCCAATTTCCAAGTCGACGAATCGGCACTACGGCTACCGGCATCGGCTCAAGATTCCATTCAGCAAATCCTCAATTCCTCCTTCGAGTCCAACCCGGACTCACCCAGCATGGGACAGTTCACTGTGCGCATCGATGCCCAGTTTTCAGATCATATGGACGAGCATATTTACGAGAACGATGACATCGTGAACTTGGAGAAGGAGTCCCACTCCTCGACCTCCTCTAGTCGAACAGTGAAGGATATGTCCCCGGAGTCCATGAGCTCGGTCGGGGAGCCTCAGTCACAGAAGGAGGACACTCCTACCCCAGTGAACAGTGACACAGAGCAGAGTCACACGTCCAAACAGTCCGGCACCACCTCGTCCTTCAGCTTGAAGAGTTCCGTGTTCTGTGAATCCCCCATCAAGGAGGATGTGAGTATGCCGTGAGCCGCTTCAGTCTAGAGGGTCGAGGGAGAGGTGACATAGGGGGAGGAGTCAAGTGAGAGAGGATAAGTGAGAGGGAGGAGTTAGTTTGAGAGGGGAGGAGGTCATTTGAGAGAAGAGGAGGTAATATGAGAGAGGAGGAGTTAGTTTGTGAGGGGATGAGTTAATTTGAGAGAGGAGAAGTTAAAAGTGAGAGGGAGGAGTTAGTTTGAGAGGGAAGGAGGTCATTTGAGAGAAGAGAAGGTAATTTGAGAGAGGAGGAGTTAGTTTGTGAGGGGAGGAGTTAATTTGAGAGAGGAGAAGTTAAAAGTGAAAGGGAGGAGATAATTTGAGAGAGGAGAATTTAAAAGTGAGAGGGAGGGGTTAGTTTGAGAGTGGGGGTTAAAAGTGAGAGGGAGGAGTTTGTTTGTGAGGGGAGGAGGTCATTTGAGAGAAGAGGAGGTAATTTGAGAGAGGAGGAGTTAGTTTGAGAGAGGAGTTAAAAGTGAGAGGAGGAGTTAATTTGAGAGAAGAGTTAGTTTGTGAGGGGAGGAGTTAATTTGAGAGAGGAGAAGTTAAAAGTGAAAGGGAGGAGATAATTTGAGAGAGGAGAATTTAAAAGTGAGAGGGAGGGGTTAGTTTGAGAGTGGGGGGTTAAAAGTGAGAGGGTGGAGTTAGTTTGTTAGGGGAGGAGGTCATTTGAGAGAAGAGGAGGTAATTTGAGAGAGGAGGAGTTAGTTTGAGAGAGGAGTTAAAAGTGAGAGGGAGGAGTTAAAAGTGAGAGGAGTTAATTTGAGAGAGGAGGAGTTAGTTTGTGAGGGGAGGAGTTAATTTGAGAGAGAAGTTAAAAGTGAAAGGGAGGAGATAATTTGAGAGAGGAGAATTTAAAAGTGAGAGAGGAGGAGTTAATTTGAGAGAGGAGGGGAGAAGTTATGATTAGAAGGGAGGAATTTTGATGAGGATTCCCTTTGTGAGACAAAATCTCTGATAGAAAGAAGTCTGATGGGATTCTTTTAAACATATTGGAAGTGGGAGGGACATTGTTCAGAAGAAAAAATAGGTTTTATAGGAGGGAAATATTTATATTTTTCACAAAATGCCATGAAAATAAGATAAAAGTTGATATTTGTGCATGTTCTTGTTCAGCAAATTCAGCCCGTTTATTTGTTGACAATCTCTGGTGGTATTTTAGGAAGCAGAAGTTCAAGGTCAACTCGGCAAGCTGAAGAGAACCAAGACTGAGCTGCTTCAGAAGATCTCTCACCTCAAGCATCAGATTGTGGACATCGAGACCCAGGAGAATGAAGCCATCAGGGAGGTGAGTCTTGTCAGGAGTGGGATGCGGAGTGGATACGGAGTAGATGCGGAGTGGATGGCGGAGTGGATGTGGAGTGGGATGCGGAGTGGATGCGGAGTGGGATGCGGAGTGGATACGGAGTAGATGCGGAGTGGATGTGGAGTGGGATGCGGAGTAGATGCGGAGTGGATGTGGAGTGGGATGCGGAGTGGGATGCGGAGTGGATGCCAGTTCACTGGCTTACTGTGGAGCTATGTCATGCTTGTCATCAGATTGACTAAGATCAGGATGGGGGCAGCGATGAATGTCAGTATTCGTCTTTCTCATTCTTACCCCCTCTCTCCCCATCTCTCACCTCTCCTCTCCTCACCTTACCAAACTTTGCATCTCCTTGCCTAATCTAACCTAACTTGCGTCTCCCTGCCTCACTTCACGTCATCTAACTTCTCGCCTCATCTCCTCATCTCACCTCATCTCACCTAACTTGTGTCTCCTTGTCTCACATAATCTCACCTAATTTCTTTTCTCCTCGTCTCACTTCACCTCACCTAACTTCTCGTCTCACTTTCTCTCACCTAACTACTCATCTCCTCTTCTCATGTCACCTAACTTCTCTATCTTCTCATTAAACTTCTCGCATCCTCTCCTCATTTCACCTAACTCCTCTCCTCATCTCACCTAACTCCTCTCCTCATCTCACCAAACTTCTCTATCATCTCACCTAACTTTAATTCTTCTCCTCATCTCTAATCACCTTTCTCTCACCTCGCCTCACCTCTCAGTCGTCCATGTTGCAGTTGGAGATGGAGCGTGCGCTGTTGGACGGAGAGCACCAGATGGAGATGGAGCAGTTGCAGCACGACCAGGAGAAGATCAACGACCTCAAGCGACAGCAGGCGGACCTCATCCAGCAGGCCAACCTGCAGCGAGAGAAGGTTGGTGGAGGCGCCTACTACCTTACCACTTCAGTATCCCCCCTCACACAACCTCGTGTCAGCCCGTAGGCGGCTGACCCATCACTGTGGCCGACGCACCAAGTATCATTATCACGCGATTACTACTAGTTCAGTATCCCCCCTCACACAACCTTGTGTCAGCCCGTAGGCGGTCGACCCATCACTGTGGCCGACGCACCACGTATCATTATCACGCGATTACTACTAGTTCAGTATCCCCCCTCACACAACCTTGTGTCAGCCCGTAGGCGGTTGACCCATCACTGTGGCCGACGCACCAAGTATCATTATCACGCGATTACTACTAGTTCAGTATCCCCCCTCACACAACCTTGTGTCAGCCCGTAGGCGGTCGACCCATCACTGTGGCCGACGCACCACGTATCATTATCACGCGATTACTACTAGTTCAGTATCCCCCCTCACACAACCTTGTGTCAGCCCGTAGGCCGTCGACCCATCACTGTGGCCAACGCACCAAGTATCATTATCACGCGATTACTACTAGTTCAGTATCCCCCCTCACACAACCTCGTGTCAGCCTGTAGGCGGGTGACCCATCACTGTGGCCGACGCACCAAGTATCATTATCACGTGATTACTAATAGTTCAGAAGTTCAGTGGCAGAGTTTGTCATTCAGTGCATCTTGCATACAGTCTGGTATGGTGTCCGCATATTTGCTAAATGAATGACTAAAATCACAATATTTGTCAAAAAACTAACTTCCTTTCACTCTCCATTTCGTGTTTTCAGACACTTTTTGTCATCCTCACATCTGATAGATTAGTTAGTTTCACTCGACACAGTTGAAATCACAGTACGCTTTGATTATGAGAAAATCTGGAACTTCTGTCATTGGGAAAAATTAAGTTCATAAAATGTAATTCTCCTTGATGATAAGGCCAAACTTGGTTTTACAAATGTGCTGACTCCATAATATTGAAATCTTGAAAATAATATATGAAAAGCAATGTTCTTTTGATTCCGCTGACCAGAAATAAGTAAAATATAAAAACAAAAAAATTCATTTACTGTTGCTTTTAATTTATATAAATCAGTTAATATATAATTAGTATCTGTTAAAATTTTTATCTTAGAAACCAACAAAACCAACAAATTATCACAAATTGTGAGAGAAAATAAAAATATATGTTTGAAATTTCATTCTTTTCATTTTTTTCCCTTTTTTTTAACCTACCTGCCTGCATTTATATGCCAAAAATACATAACACAAAAATATAGTTGGGTCTAAGCTAAAAAAAACCTTCATTAGGCCACACTCATTTTATTTTGTGGATTTTTTAGCTCACCACTAAATAAATTTTTTTATCTTATTTATTGTAGTTTAACTGTGATGTTGTATGGGTCAGTAGGTGACGGGAAATATTCTAAATCTGTATAGATGCAGGATGTTTAGTCATTTTACATTTACATTTACATTCACATTCACATTTACATTTACATTCAAATTCACATTCACATTCAAATTCACATTTACATTCACATTCAAATTCACATTTACATTTACATGTATAAATGCAGGATGTTTAGTCATTTTCCATTCACATTTACATTCACATTTACATTCACATTTACATTCACATTCACATTTATAAATACTCAGGATGTTTAGCCATTTTCCATTAACATTTGCATTCACATTTACATTTAAATTTACATTCACATTTACATTCACATTCACATGTATAAATACTCAGGATGTTTAGCCATTTTCCATTAACATTTACATTCACATTCACATTTAAATTTACATTCACATTTACATTCACATTTAAATTTACATTCACATTTACATTTACATTTACATTCACATGTATAAATGCAGGATGTTTAGCCATTTTCCATTAACATTTACATTTACATTCACATTCACATTCACATTTACATTTACATTCACATTCACATTCACATGTATAAATGCAGGATGTTTAGCCATTTTCCATTAACATTTACATTTACATTCACATTCACATTTACATTCACATTTACATTTACATTTACATTCACATTCACATTTAAATTTACATTCACATTTAAATTTACATTCACATTTACATTTACATTTACATTTACATTCACATTCACATGTATAAATGCAGGATGTTTAGCCATTTTCCATTAACATTAACATTTACATTTACATTCACATTCACATTCACATTTACATTCACATTTACATGTATTTACTTCTCATAAGGTTTCATTCTCTTTGGAAACGATGTTCAATGCATGTTGACAATTAATTACTTATATGTTTAGTGTTTTAAATAAAAGGCGCGAATAGTTTATGAATATATTTTTAAGAAATTGCTAAATGGATTTTATGTTGTCGCTTTCTCAAACTTTTATAAACATATTCTTAAAATTCTCAAGGGTTGATTGGTTGTACCTAGAAAATTTGTTTGGTATTACAATGGCTCATACTTTAACAACACTTGTTAATTATGATTTGTATTAATTATTTGTTTCAGCTGAAAAAGAGGGTAGGTTATGCAGATGGTTTAATGCCAGCATGAAGAATGCATGAGTTATCTCCCTTATTTGCTAGTTTCAAAAGATTCTTCATAGATACAGTTTTCTTGACAAATGCAATTGAAATGTAATAAATACATGCATGTGATAATGATAATTTTAATTTATTTTTATTTTTGTGAATAACTATTCATGTTTAAAAATATATTTTTTTAAATAAAATAATATTTAAATGTGCATGAAAATGTTTTTGTGAATCAGCATCTTGCTAAAAAGAGATTTTGAGTTAGTTAATTTAGGTAAAAGCATGATTATAAAAACTTCTGTCTGTTTGTCATGAGGATATTGAGGTGTTTATGTTGGGATATTTCAACTTTAACAGTGACTCTGTCAGATGTTACGAAGTGTTGTGCATGCATGGAACAGCGGAGGTTAGAGATGGTTGGAAAGTAGTATCTAGAGATACACAAACAAATATCGTGAGAGTTCAAAACATACAACAAAAGTCATGTCATTTTGACTAAATTCTTAATTTGTAATAATAATAATAATAATGATAATGATAATGTAACAAATGTTATGTTTGGGATAACACTTTCTTAGTAAAGTACAGTTTCTCGTACTTTTTTGGGTTGAGTCCCATCCGGGATTGGAACCCACACTGCCAGAGTGAGGCACCTAACCGCCAGCACACAAAGTCAGCGATCTAACCCAGTCAGCCACAGAGGCTTCCACAAAATGAAAGTCCAACAACTGGTAGTCTAGATCACATACTTTGTGTACCCCTCTGAGTGGGTTAGATCACTGACTATGTGTGCTGGCGATTAGGTGCCTCACTCTGGCAGTGTGGGTTCGAATCCCGGACGGGACTCAACCCCCAAAAGTACGAGAATCTGTACTTTACTAAGAAAGTGTTATCCCAAACATAACATTTGTTACATTTGACCACTTTCTAAATGGCATTGTGTGTTCAATAATAATAATAACAATAATCCAGGTTAGACTAGATCCCAGCAGCCTGTGGTCGTGAGACGCAGTCATGGACAAGCTCGGTGACCTGGTTGGTTGTGTGTCATCGTTCTCAGACAGCGGGGATTGTTGCTCACAATATCAATCACTGGTTTTTATGGTCCAGACTCGATTCTTTACAGGCTGCCTTCATATGGCTGGAATGCTGCTGAGTGTGGAATGAATATACCGTATTCGACGTAATAAGCACCCAGGGCGCTCTCAAAATTAGAAATGGGGGGCTTTTAATAGAATGTTATTTTGGTGGTAAAAAAAAAGCCTTGAAAGATAAATTTCGTGGTTTATGCTGACAGCCTGAAATGTTTATATACAACGGATATATTTTTCCAGAATTTAATTGCGTATTATACGCAAATAAATAAGTCTTTTGTACATTGATCAATCGGAATGGGTGCTAATTGGGATTGTTCACCAGCAAATATATTAGTAAATATCGCCGTGGGCGCTTATTAGAGCAGGGCGCTTATTACGTCGAATGCAGTAAGTCCGAGACAAGTAAAATTCAGGAAGGACTAGTGACATTTCGTTGTGTCCGACATCTTGCCCCTTCAGTTGATGGCCGCTCTGTTGTTGATCATTTGTACAGGCAAAGTAATTTCTACCCTTGAATACAAATCTAAAATACCACACATATTTTTGTGTTTGTGTCGTTTGATACAAATCTTGAGAATGCAGGTTTGATTAATATATAAAATATTTTACTTATTTTAATTAGAGAGAACAGGGCGTTGACACTACCCTCTTACCCCTGACCCCGTGTCTGATGTTTATGTGTAGTGTAATCAATTGCAGGAAGAAACACATGTTAAGAGGCCCATATTATTAAAACTGGGCGTGGTATTTGAAACAAGTTGTATCTCAAACAAACATGAACTATTTCCCAGACAACTAATTACTCTGATGAGGCTGTTTGTACTGGTTGTGCTGGTATCTGTGCATGACATAACACTGTGTGTGTGTAGAGGGCGAGTCAAGGGCCATGTCCCGGCCTTCATCATATTCTTTTCTCATTTCCAGTGATACTTGTTGGGAATATGAAAATTCTTTTCTTATTTCCAGTGATTGATGCTAGAAATATATAATATTCTTTTCTCATATCCAGCAGCAGTTGTAAGGAATATGTTTTGTTCTTTTCTTCTTCCCAGTGGTAGTTGTTAGGAATATGCAATATTCTTTTCTAATCTCCAGTGATTGATGCTGGAGTATATAATATTCTTTTCTCATATCCAGCAGCAGTTGTTAGGAATATGTTTTGTTCTTTTCTTCTTCCCAGTGGAAGTTGTTTGGAATATACAATATTCTTTTCTAATCTCCAGTGATTGATGCTAGGAGTATATAATATTCTTTTCTCATATCCAGCAGCAGTTGTTAGGAATATGTTATATTCTTTTCTTCTTCCCAGTGATTGTTGATGGGGATATATAATATTCTTTTCTCATCTCCAGTGGTAGTTGTTAGGAATGTATTATATTATCTACTCATCTCCAGTGGTAGTTGTTGGAATGTATTATATTATCTACTCATCTCCAGTGGTAGTGAGGAATGTATTATATTATCTACTCATCTCCGGTGGTAGTTGTTAGGTATGTATTATATTATCTACTCATCTCCAGTGGTAGTTAGGAATGTATTATATTATCTACTCATCTCCAGTGGTAGTTAGGAATGTATTATATTATCTACTCCTCTCCAGTGGTAGTTAGGAATGTATTATATTATCTACTCATCTCCAGTGGTAGTTGTTAGGAATGTATTATATTATCTACTCATCTCCAGTGGTAGTTGTTAGGAATGTATTATATTATCTACTCATCTCCAGTGGTAGTTGTTAGGAATGTATTATATTATCTACTCATCTCCAGTGGTAGTTAGGAATGTATTATATTATCTACTCATCTCCAGTGGTAGTTAGGAATGTATTATATTATCTACTCATCTCCAGAGGTAGTTGTTGGAATGTATTATATTATCTACTCATCTCCAGTGGTAGTTGTTAGGAATGTATTATATCATCTACTCATCTCCAGTGGTAGTTGTTAGGAATGTATCATATTATCTACTCATCTCCAGTGGTAGTTGTTAGGAATGTATTATATTATCTACTCATCTCCAGTGGTAGTTGTTAGGAATGTATTATATCATCTATTCATCTCCAGTGGTAGTTGTTAGGAATGTATTATATTATCTACTCATCTCCGGTGGTAGTTGTTAGGAATGTATCATATTATCTACTCATCTCCAGTGGTAGTTGTTAGGAATGTATTATATTATCTACTCATCTCCAGTGGTAGTTGTTAGGAATGTATTATATTATCTACTCATCTCCAGTGGTAGTTGTTAGGAATGTATTATATTATCTACTCATCTCCAGTGGTAGTTGTTAGGAATGTATTATATTATCTACTCATCTCCAGTCGTAGTTGTTAGGAATGTATTATATTATCTACTCATCTCCAGTGGTAGTTAGGAATGTATTATATCATCTACTCATCTCCAGTGGTAGTTGTTAGGAATGTATTATATTATCTACTCATCTTCGATGGTAGTTGTTAGGAATGTATTATATTATCTACTCATCTCCAGTGGTAGTTGTTAGGAATGTATTATATTATCTACTCATCTCCAGTGGTAGTTAGGAATGTATTATATCATCTACTCATCTCCAGTGGTAGTTGTTAGGAATGTATTATATTATCTACTCATCTCCAGTGGTAGTTGTTAGGAATGTATTATATTATCTACTCATCTCCAGTGGTAGTTGTTAGGAATGTATTATATTATCTACTCATCTCCAGTGGTAGTTGTTAGGAATGTATTATATTATCTACTCATCTCCAGTGGTAGTTGTTAGGAATGTATTATATTATCTACTCATCTCCAGTGGTAGTTAGGAATGTATTATATCATCTACTCCATCTCCAGTGGTAGTTGTTAGGAATGTATTATATTATCTACTCATCTTCGATGGTAGTTGTTAGGAATGTATTATATCATCTACTCATCTCCAGTGGTAGTTGTTAGGAATGTATTATATCATCTACTCATCTCCAGTGGTAGTTGTTAGGAATGTATAGTCAAACCTTTTTTAGTCCTGAATGTGTGTAACATTAGCATAGTCTCTCATAACTTATATGAATGATCCTATACTGGTATAGTATCTGATATGTGCATGGTTCTCATCAGATATACAAGGGGTGTTTCTCGTGCCTATTAAGGAGTAACATTTACATATTCATTTACATTATCGTCAGTAGGCAACATGGCTGTGGGTGTGGGTGAAACGAGGGCCAGTCATCTAAGGCTCAATTCACTTAACAGATTTGTGCCCCTTAGGTGTGCCAGGATCCTATAATTGTGGACCCGAAGGGATTCCTGGTCCCTAGCAACCTACACTGGTCGTAAGAGACAATTTATCATCATGGGTTTCACCAAATAGTCATCATGTAAGAACGGCTTCAGTTTGGGCTCGCCAAGATGTACTGTTGTACTCACTCAATCACTCACTCACTCACTCACTCACTCTGGTCTCCAGGAGCTGCAGATCCTGGAACAGGAGCGAGGGAAGCTACGAGAGCTGGAGCAGCGACACTACGAGACGGAGCAGCAGCTGGAGAGTTGTGAGGCGGCAGCGGAGGCGGCGGAGGCGGAGGAGGAGGAGGAGGAGGAGGAGGCGGAGACGCTGCAGGAGAAGTACCAGCTGGAGCAGGAGGTCCTCGACAACCAGCGCAGGATCTACGATGACCTGGAGTTCCAGCAGTTTGAGGTGAGTTGCCCTGATCTGCCCCACCTGTGTGAGGTGAGTTGCCCTGACCTGCCTCAGTAGTGAGGTGAGTTGCCCTGACCTGCCCCATCGGTGTGAGGTGAGTTGCCCTGACCTGCCTCAGTAGTGAGGTGAGTTGCCCTGACCTGCCTCAGTAGTGAAGTTAGTTGGCCTGACCTGGAGTTCCAGCCGTTTGAGGTGAATTTGTGTGAGCTGAGTTGAGTTGCCCTGACCTGACCTGCCCGATCGGTGTGATGTGAGTTGCCCTGACCTGCCCGATCTGTGTGATGTGAGTTGCCCTGACCTGCCCCAACGGTGTGATGTGAGTTGCTCTGATCTGCCCCATCGGTGTGAGGTGAGTTGCCCTGACCTGCCTCAGTAGTGAGGTGTGTTGCCCTGACCTGCCCCATCTGTATGAGGTGAGTTGCCCTGACCTGCCCCATCGGTGTGAGGTGAGTTGCCCTGACCTGCCTCAGTAGTGAGGTGAGTTGCCCTGACCTGCCCCATCAGTGTGAGGTGAGTTGCTCCGACCGGCCCCATCTGTGTGAGGTGAGTTGCTCTGACCTGCCCCATCGGTGTGAGGTGAGTTGACCTGACCTGCCTGATCGATGTGAGGTGAGTTGCTCTGACCTGCCTCAGTAGTGAGTTGGCCTGACCTGCCCGATCGGTGTGAGGTGAGTTGGCCTGACCTGCCTGATCGATGTGAGGTGAGTTGCTCTGACCTGCCTCAGTAGTGAGTTGGCCTGACCTGCCCGATCGGTGTGAGGTGAGTTGCCCTAACCTGCCCCATCGGTGTGAGGTGAGTTGGCCTGACCTGCCTGATCGGTGTGAGGTGAGTTGGCCTGACCTGCCCGATCGGTGTGAGGTGAGTTGCCCTGACCTGCCCCATCGGTGTGAGGTGAGTTGCCCTGACCTGAAGAATGGGGACAGTGTTCAATGCCAGTTCAGTACCCTGGTTCTGATGTAAATGGAATAGTGCTCATTTTGTAAATTTCGAGTTGCATAAACCTGGCAAATGTGTTACCGGATTGTTAAAAATTGTATTTCTAATACTGAAAAAAGGAGGGACCAGTTTTAAAAATTATCTTATTAAATTTAGACAACAAAGAAAATTGAATTTTGGGCTTTTTCCCCCAGAGGGAGAGTCGGTTTGAAGAACAGAAGGAGCACCTCAATGACCAGGTGGTGCAGGACAAGAACGTTCTTCTGAAGAAATACAAGGCAAGGGAGGTAAGTCAGGCTCAAGTTCATTGACTTCACTGTGTCCAAAGACACACCACCAACATACAAGGCTTCAGTGGAGGGCGCAAACCTTCCTTTTTAAGCAAAATAATCATAAATACATTCAGGAATTTTATAGGTGATGGGATATATTATTAGTAGACATATTTAACAAAGCTATGTACCAGCTTGGTGAACTTTTAAAAAAAAAAAAAAAAGGATTAATAAATGCGAATTGTCAGGATTGGAGAGGCCACAATAACACAGTTAGAGGTCAAGTTTCAAATTGTACACATTGGTTTCAGGAACGACTCCAAGAGATTGACCATCAACAATATCAGTATTGGAGAGGGGGGCACTTGTGGCCCAGTCGTCTAAGGCGCCGCGATTCGCTGTGCAGAGTTGCGTCGCTTGGGCATGCCAGAAACCTATGATTGTGGGTTCGAATCCCGGTTCGCCCCGATTATGTTTCTAGGTTTGTCAGCACCATACCCGTGCTCGTGGGTTTCACCGAAGTGGTAAACGTCTGATATAACTGGAATACTGTTAACAGCTGCGTTAAACCCAACTCACTCACTCACTCAGTATTGGAGAGGCCACAATAACACCGTTAGAGGTCATGTTCAAGTTTCAATCCATACAAATTGGTTTCAGGAACGACTCCAAGAGATTGACCTTCAACAGAAGGACATGATCCGGGTGGTCAAGAACGACCTTGAGGGGCTGGAGAAAGATCGCCTCCAGCTGGTCGACCTGTTCAGAAAGGTAGGACAGGATAGGTGGACTGAGGAAAAGTGGAGAAGCATGTTAACTCCTCAACTTTATACACGAACAAACGATGTACTATACTTTCTTAGTGGAATCAATGGGGTCCTAGTAAGAGTTAGTGCTTAGGACCTGTGCTGGTTGTAAGAGCTCACTGTATGGATCGGTTCGTCAGAGTTCGGTGTTAAACAACAGTGTGTTTGTGAAAGAAGTTTAACTTATCGTACAGATGATATAAAGAGACTGATCATCTCCGTACTGTATATATGTCTGCATAGGGATTCGGACGAAGAATAGGCCCTTGTTCCCCATGTCATGACAAGATCTGGGGTAGAATACGTCTTCAGCAACCTGTGCTTGCCGTAAAAGGCGACTATGCTTGTCGTAAAAGGCGACTAACGGGATCAGGTGGTCAGGCTCGCTGACTTGGTTGATGCATGTCATCGATCCCAATTGCGTGGATCGATGCTCATGATATTAATCACTGGATTGTCTGGTCCAGATTCGATTATTTACAGACCGCCGTCTTATAGCTGGAATATTGCTGAGTGTGGCGTTAAACAACAAACCAACCAATCGATGTTGGTGAACTATAGCTGCAATAGGGCTGATAGTGGCATAAAACAACATGCGCTCACTCATGTATTTCGTTGCATTTTGTTACAAGTGTCGTGTCAAGGATATTTGTGTGCACTCACTCAGCACCTGTGGCAGCTTGCATGTAATTTTTGTCTGCATCAACATTTTTTGCTTTTGTGTGGTAATATTTTTTCTTCTTTTCTTTGGATTGTTAGACGTCTTCTTAGCACCGATTCATTTTTTTAATTCAGTGTTTGCTTCTTTCCTGTCCTTGTGAAATCAGTGGCTTGTGCTAAATTATTATTTTTTTCATTTTCTTTTTATTTATTTCTCTTTTCATTTTAATTTAATTTGACCAAACTTCAAAATTCAGATTGTTTTTCAGCCGGTGACTGCTGACATAAAAGTCATGTGTGATTTTGATATTATCCCGTAACCATGGTAATGAAGAAATTTGATTTTCAGGAGAAAGCAAAAGTGACAGAGGTTGACCTACAGATTCAGGCACTGTGTCATTCGCTGTCGTTGCCTGATCCAGACGATTCAGGGGACTCTAGTGCCTTCTTATCAGATCTAGAGCTGGAGGTATACCATGTCACCATGGAAACACTGGCCACCATGTTTGTTGTCATAACAGGGGTCTCAAAGCCATTTTTTTTATTTTATGGTTCATGACTTTTTGGGCAATTATTAGCTTGGATTTGAATAAAAAATAGTATTAAATTGTGTATTTGCTAAAGCCTTGTATGTTGATCTAGTTGGTTTTATCAGACTGACCAACAACAAAAATGAAATTAGAAAAGGGAAAAAATGGCTTTTGATGAAATGAGTTTGGGTCGACTCTCTTTTACAATAAGGTGAAATGAAATAACCCCAAGATTTTATTACCACTCTTCGTAAACAAAAGTGACAAAACACTTTCCATATTCATAAGAAATCTCTGCAAAAAGCAGAAATTGTTAATGGTATGTAGAAAAAGCCTGTACTGCCACACAAATTACAATCAACTATTTTTCGGTATCTTGCCATATAAAAAAAACTAAATTTTTTCTTTCAGTAGCAGTACTATTTTGGTTACCGTACTCGACGCAATAAGCGCCCCGCTCCAATAAGCGCCCACGGCGAAATTTGCTAATATATTGGCTAGTGAACAATCCCAATTGGCACCCTTTCCTATTGATCAATGCACACAAGACTTATTTATTCGCGTATAATACGCACTCGTGTGTTATATGCACCCTTAATCATGGGCAATTAAATTCTGGAAAAATATATCTGTTGTACATAAACATTTCAGGCTGTCAGCATAAACCACGAAATTTATCTTACAAATAAGAGCCCCTATTTCCAATTTTGAGAGCGCCCTGGGCACTTATTATGTCGAATACGGTATTGGAAATAATTATGTATTTAATTTCGACCAACTTATTTGGAAAATAGAAAATTATTATAAAGTCATGGAATGTCCTGGCAAAGTAATATTGTTATATCAGTATTTTTTTATGATGTTTACTGTCAGTGAGAGGGAAAAAACAAACTCAACCATCATCGCTTTTCCTTGTTCTGAGTTAACGCTTTCCAAAGATTTTTATGAATTTTGTGAATTTTTATTGATATAATCATGGAAATGGACATTATACCCTTGAAAAAACATAGGAATATGTCTGGCTGTTAGTTTAGGAACCCTTGCTCCCTGCTGTTTATAAAGTGTTTACTATGTCCAGAGACCATTCTAAAGCAGTAAACAGTTGTTTATTTCCTCCATCACAACGACAGTGGTTGCTCATAATTTATTTTATATTTTTTTCTGCTTGTGGCATTTTGACTCCGGTCAGTTGATCTTTAAACCAACATATAAAAAATTCTTGCCTCAGTATAAAAATTGGCATTCTGCTGTCATCTGTCTGAAAATGCTTTCAACCATTTGATGTCATGGGAAAGATTTTAAACTTTATGATTTTGAAGAAAGTCTTTTAAAAAAAATAATGTGTACGTAAAATTTTGATCAATTGAAAGAATGTTTTTGAATGTACCAATATATTTTAGGCTAATGATTTTTGTTTGAACTTTGAGACCCTTCACCTCATCAATGCACATTTCATTTACAACGAACACCACACACGGTATCACGTGAACATCCGGGGTAGAATAGGTCTTCGGCAACCCATTCTTGCCGTAAAAGGCGACTATACTTGTCGTAAGAGGTGACTAACGGGATCGGGTGGTCAGACTCGCTGAGTTGGTTGATGGATATCATCGATCCCAATTGCCTGTATCGACGATCATGAGGTCAATCACTGGATTGTCTGGTCCAGACTCGATTATTTACAGACCGCCGTCATACAGCTGGAATATTGCCGAATGCAGCATTTAACAACAAACAAAATCTGGGGTAGTCAAGTGGTTAAAGCGTTTGCTTGTCACGCCAAAGACCCGGGTTCGATTCCTCACATGGGTACAATGTGTAAAGCCCATTCTGGTGTCCCCCGCCGTGATATTGCTGGAATATTGCTAAAAGCGGCGTAAAACTATATTCACTCACTCACTCACTCACTCACTCACTCACTCACTTAGCATGGCGACATGTGTTCTAGTTTCCAGACAGGTTTTCTTACAATGATTATTTATTTACAAACAACCATTCAGTAGCAGGAATATTGTTGATGGTATAAGACAACATTCACTCACTTACTCTGTGAAGTGAAACAAATCTCTGATTAAGCATCTCTGACCCCGTGGGGATTCTGGACAAGTCCCTGCAACCCGTGTTTGTTGTACGTGCTGACTAAATACACCCGGAGGTCGGGCTCGGCAATTGCGTGGATCGATGCTCATGATGTCAATCACTGGATTGTCTCGTCCAGATTCGATTATGTACAGACCGCCTTCATATGGCTGCAATAATTTTAAATGTGTTAAAAAACAAATACACACTCGTCTTCCTAAATGGTGGTCAGGGTTAATGATTAGGGTCCTTGGGGGTCATCATATCGCAGTTGCGTGGATCGATGCTCATAATGTCAATCACTGTATTGTCTTGTCCAGATTCGATTATGTACAGACCACCTTCATATGGCTGCAATATTGCTGAGTATATTGAAGAACAAACACACACATCTTTCTAAATGTGGGATTTAGGCATTAAAAAGGAGGTTTTACATTCTGCTTACTCACTCTGAGAATGAATTATGTGAACCGCAAATATGGCAATGATTGTTGTGAAACTCCGTAGACTGGGTCAGTAGGAATGCTAAACTAGAATTCTGTTTTATTTATTTCCTGCATGAGTGTACTGTAGTCTCTGGTTCAGCTATCCATGTTCATGCATGTCATGGTCGTCGGCCCGCAATGTGCAGACATTTCATGGCACAATATTCAAAAGGTTTTCATGTTAGTTGTGCTTTTGCTTTCAAGTTTTGTTAAAAACAACATGTCATATATTGAGAAAATTGTTGTTAATAAATTCAATTGTTATAGCGGCTTCATCAACAATTGTGAAAAAAACCCTTTTATATTGTTTCGAAATGTGATGGACTTAAAACACATGTTCTCAACATGATGGATATAAAGTCTTTGAAAGGCATTTAGAAGTGATTCACATAAGGAAGAGATTATGGATGTTAATGTCTTTATTATGAGGAACACAATGTTTCGGAGTATATGCGTACTCCTTCATCAGGTGAATGGATGCTATGAGGCAGAGAGTATATATATATATATGTAAATGTAAGGACGACAAAATTAATAATATATATATTTTATAAGTATATAATTTCTTTGGAATTAGTTCAAGAGAATTCCGAAATAGTTTTTGAACTAAATTAACCTTAATGCCGATATTCATTTTGATATCCATAAAGAAAAGCTGTCCTTGAAGCCTTCATGTTTGAATATTGTGTCATTCTTGTACTTAGGTTCTCGCACACGTTTTAAGCAAGAACATTTTAAACAATTCTTGGTTTCATCATTTGAAAATATTCCTGACATTTGCATACAAATAATCAATTTTGTGTCCAATTGAGAGTTTTTACAGATTGGAATATAATCTGGAGTGGTTTTGTGTTTCCAGGAGACTTCATTCCGACGGAGGGACTACTTGGAGAGTCCAGTCAGGAAGTTGTCTCGAAGTGACATTCCGGTAGATCACGAACGAAAGAAGTCGGCAACATTGGAAGATATTGAAAGAAACCGATCTCTTTTCTTGGAACAACAAGGTAAGCTCTTTTGAAATCAAGTGATTTGAATATCTGCATAAAATATGCAAATATATTTACCATCAACTGAATAATTTTGGCTCTTTCATGCAATATGAGACAATTCTTTTAGATCCCCAAGTACCCAATATGGACTTTTAAAGTAGAATGCAAGTATTTTCCAATGAAATGCAGGCATCACATGCATAAATTCCACTGCAGCGAACATTCCACTAAAGTGCAGTGATTTTGACTCAAAAATCTGTATCTAGGTCATACAATATCTTAGACCCGAGAAATGTACGAAGTCAATAGCAAAAGTCATTTAGTCTGAAAGTTTCAAAAAGACGAAGCATAACAACAAATCAATGGAAGACTGTTCGTGATTGGATGAATATATACAATCTGGCCAATGAACATTGCGATAAGGAAAGCGCTTGACTAGGTCACTGTAGCTCCTGACAGTGTCTCCCTATGATACAGAAAGTAGGGTGCAAAGACACGCACTGCTCAGAGTTTTAAGTACGATATTTGATGGGTGTGCATTGTCATATCGACATAAGTGGGACTAATTGTTACTGTTCACTTTTCTTTTATGAAATTATGACACGTATGACGCTTTTAGTTTAACTAGCATCTCAGTTGGTCAAACAATCAGTCAATTTGAAATTTTATCGATCAATGATCGGTGACCGAGAGCTATCTGAAACTCTGACGTCTCACAAACCTTATTGACCGCCTCCGTGGTCTAATGGTAGAGCGTCCTCCCAGAGAGCAGAAGGTCTGGGGTTCGATCCCCGGCCTCGTCATACCAAAAGACGTTAAAAGATGGTACTTGTTGTTACCCTGTCTGGCGCTCGGCATTAAGGGGCTAAAACAAGGACTGGTCAGCTCGGAGTCAGTATACTGTGTCTGAGTGGGATATTCATGTTAAACTGCGGCATGGTATCTCAGTGCGCTAGCACTATAAATCGGCATCAGTCCGGACTAGTACAAGCAGCCACACAAACACACACACATACACGTGCATGCACGTCGCTATATAAGTGCAATAATCTTGGACGCGACGTTAAACCCAATTTCACCTCACCTCACAAACCTTATCTTATGGTTGGTGTGAGTTTGTGACGTGTGACACACTTTGGAAGAACAGGAACCGCTTCAAATTAGAAGTCAACAGGTCCACTCACTGGATTAGAATAATACCAAGTAGACAGGACCCGTGCATAAGTATCCCAGATGAAACTTAAATACTCAGAATAATCACATGCGAGTAAATGCTGAATGGTTCCAAACCTTGTCTAGACCACTGCCTCAAATATCCACAAGCGTCACCACCATGTAATTGTTGCTTACAGAAGTAAAGGGGGGTAACTCTTCAAGACCTATCTTGAGCATCGAGATCAATGAAGGCTTGAGATTGCTGAATCTGCAGACTCAGTGTTTCCTTACTGTAGTTCTATATTATTTGTTTGTTCATTTATTCCTTAATTAATCGTTTGATTTTATTAATTGATGTCTTATGTGCTGTGCACATCCTTGACCAAACATTTCTTTCTTTTGATGTCTCTTTACAATGAAGAAATCAAGAGTTTATTTGATAGACTCAAATCTGTGGTTGATTATCTGAATATATTTTCGATGTATGTTAGATCTTGCTGTGTCCCATGGGGCTTCTGGGAAGGAATACTGGTCCCAAGCAACCCATGCTTGTCGTAAGAGGCGACTAACGGGATCGGGTGGTCAGGCTTGCTGACTTGGTTGATGCATGTCATCGTATCTCAATTGCGTGGATCGATTGCTCATGATGTCGATCACTGAATTGACGGTCCAGACTTTGTTTACAGACCCGCTGTCACACAAGGCATAATTCAAATAATGCCCTCATTTCAGTAAACTTTTTCATCTTTTATACGTTTAAGACCAGATTTTGATTCACATGTTAAAATTTTGCAGCGTCCATTCTAGTTGTGTTCATGCATATATGTCTGCGAATACAGATACCCCTTGCACAAAAAGTGATTTTCTGAAACATAGGTACATTTCTGCATAAAGTGGGTACCGTATTCGACGTAATAAGCGCCCACGGCGATGTTCGCTAATATATTGGCTAGTGAACAATCTCAATTAGCACCCCTTCCAATTGATCAATTGACTTATTTATTCCTGTATAATACGCACTCGTTTGTAATATGCACCCTTAATTATGGGCAATTAAATTCTGGAAAAATATATATGTTGTATATAAATATTTCAGGCTGCCAGCATAAACCACCAAATTTACTAACTTTTTTCACCAAAATTATATTCCAATAAGAGCCCTTATTTCTAATTTTGAGAGCGCCCTTGGCGCTTATTACGTCAAATATAGTATTTCTGCAAAATATTCCACTTTCGCAGAATACAGCGGGTATTGGAAATTTGAGAACAAGGTTTTAAATGAAATATGTCTGACATTTGCAAAATTTGGATAATTTCCAAAAGTCTGTAACTATATTATTGTCAAATTGCTCTCAGCTTACTTCAGGAACATGTTCTTGTTCTTCTGCAGGGAACATGATAATTGACCAGGAACGTAAGCGTATTGAGGAGCTGAAGCGTCGTGCGGCGGATGAGGGGCGGGCGCAGTGGGAGGAGCGCCGGTTACGAGAAAGTAACTGTAAAAGTTTCAACTCCCTGGAGTCCGAAGACTCCAGCATCGCCAGCAGCTGTGAAACTCCCTCCGAGAAGGAAACAAGGTCAGTGTGCATGGCGGCTTTCAAAACTGTAGGGGTGGGGGGGGGTAGTCTTTGTTGTGATTTAAGCATTCACTCGTCAGTCCGAAAATGCCATAGTTGTGAAACCCCTTCTGTGAACCAGACTTGATCCATGTACATGGCATGTTTCCCCTGTGGGGATTTTGGTCACACGAGAACTGGAGCGACTTGGGCTTGGATGGGTCCAAATTTACTACCCGGGTGCCCAACACCCTATTACCATGGTACCCGCCACCCTATTACCATGGTAACCGCTGTAGGTCTCAAGAGTTGGGCAGAAAGGGTCCATATGGGAATTGTTTTGCCGCAGCCCTAGCAAGACCTATTTAGATACACGTATAAAACGATCTGATCATGCATACACTGAAGTTGATTGACGCTTTATCCGAATGTCAGAACAAATGCTTGCTTGTTCAGAAGGAAATGTGAACATACTGTATTCGACATAATAAGCACCCCGCTCTAATAAGCACCCACGGTGATATTTGCTTATATATTGGCTAGTGAACAATCCCAATCAGCACCCCTTCCGATTGATCAATGTACACAAGACTTATTTATTTGTGTTTAATACACACTTGTGTGTTATATCACCCTTAATTATGGTTAATTAAATTCTTGAAATATATATCTCTCGTATGTAAACTTTTCAGGCTGTAAGCATAAACCAGGAAATTTACGATCTTTCAACTCAAAATAATATTCTAATAAGCGCCCCCTGGGCGCTCATTACGTTGAATACGGTACTTGTAATGTCACCATGGAGTTTTATTGTTGATGTCATCTGGGTAGTCCTGTGGGTACCTGGGTCCTACTCAGGACCCACCCGACCTGAGTACCCGAGTTACCCGTCCCGTCCCGGCCCTAGGAGCAACCCATGCTTGATGTAAAAGGTGACTTAATGGCTCAGGTGGTCCGACTCTGTGATTTTGTTGATGCTGTGTCATCGCACCAAGACAGGGTGGATCGATGCTGAAAATATCCATCCCTAGAACACCTGGCCCATGTTTAGTGATTTACAGACAGCTGTCTTACAGCTGGAGTATTGTGCAGCTGTCTTACAGCTGGAGTATTGTGCAGCTGTCTTACAGCTGGAGTATTGTGCAGCTGTCTTACAGCTGGAGTATTGTGCAGCTGGGGGATGCAGCCATTGCAAAGAAGGAGGTTTTGACATCCGGCCTAATACATGAATTTGAAAATCAAGATACTTTTTCTACATCCCAAGATGTTTCTTGTCGCATTCAAACAAGATTAACATGAAAAGGGAAGTAACTCCAAGCAATCAAAAAAGAATTTGTTCTTATTTGAAGGCAAATTTTCCTAATTTACTTCCCACTAATTCTGTTCGGAAATTACTGTATTATAAAGTATAAAGAAATGGATATAAGGGAAGTAACTCTGATCAGCCAGGGGGCGTCTGCCACACAGGATCTACACCAGTATTTCACTACTTATGTGGGCTTTGTGTCATTGGGGTTCCTGTCATGGCCGGAGCCTCAGGTGTCGCCATTAGAAGCTGTTCAAGGTCAAGGCCCCTTATCAACTAACTCATGGAGGCTGATTTATTTGAAATTTGAAACTTTTACGAAAGATTTTAATTGAAAGCACTCGTCAATTAGATCAATCTATCTTGGTTGATGGTTCATAATATGATCAGTTAATCTGATCTGACACCAAAACAATGTTTCCATGGAAACAAGAAGTATATTTATTATATATATACATCTAGCTTGGCATGTACAATATATTTGTTACTTCTAACCTTCATTGATGTATTCATTGTAATATGACCTATGTGTAATGGAGCGGTATTAACATAAGCGCTTTGCTTGTTTACCAATCCATTTTCACACTTTTGTGAAAATAAATATGTTTAATCCAAGTATCTAAAAAAAAAGTGGATAATTTGTTTAGCCTTTTTCTAATGGATAGAAATAATTTGGTTACTTTTCCAATATTTTCTTCTGCAATGTGCTGGCGGACTGGGTCGTTGAGGTCGTTGAGGGATAGCAGGTAGATACTGAGTGAGTGAGTGAGTGAGTGAGTGAGTGAGATGGGTTTTACGCCGCTTTTAACATTATTCCCGTTATATCACGGCGTGTCAGCTTAATGTGGGAGGAAAGCCCGAAGTGATGCAGGTCTCAGACGTTTACCACTTCGGTGAAACCCACGAGCACGGGTATGGTGCTGACAAACCTAGAAACATAATCGGGCGAACCGGGATTCGAACCCACAATCATAGGTTTCTGGTGTGTTCAGGGGACGCAACTGGGCCACCCGTGCCCCTGGAAGATAGTACCTGTGAAGGGAATGGAGGGGACTTTGTATCAGTGATAAGCTCCATCCTCCCAGCCTTCATCATCAGTATTTGTTCCCACTTGACAGATGAGATCAATCACGATGTCATTGTTTTATTGGAAAATCAATTTCAATTTCCTATTTTGAGCAGAAACTGTAGAAATGCACTGGAGAAGTTTGCTCACAAACAAGTTATAAAATATCAGCTTTTGTATCAAATTTTGATTGATGGAGAATTGATTCTGTTAGCTTTTCTAATTTGTATTATTTTGTCATGGTTGTCGGGTTCGCTGCAGCCTCTGTTTTGTATCAGTTGTTGAATGAGCAGATTGGCTATTTCGAAGAAATTTATGGCATCAAGCCCGATTTGTTCAACTGCCGTTGATTTAATCGTTTGCCTTTTCCCACTGGGGTAATAGTCCTTCTATTGTGTGTGTATTGATTGATTGACTGATTGGTTTGTCAATAATCTAACGTCATTGATCCAAGTAATGATCCAACATATGTCAGGGACACCGCTCTCATTGATTATGCATGATAGGGGCCTGATTCTTTGATACACTGACCCCAAACGAGGCTATTAATCAAACATTTGTTCAAGGATACCATTTGTTACTTCAAGGCTAAATGTGTATTGATTATGCAAACAGAGCTCCCCGATCCACAGAGCTTTCATATGCTACGTAAATCTTTGATGAACTGGAGAGTAGGGCTGGGACAACTCCAAATTTACTACCCGGGTACCCGCACACCTATTACCCGACCCTACCCAGGTACCCGCTGTTGGTGTCAAGAGATAGGTACAAAATGTCCAATTGGTAATAGTTTGACAGTAGCCCTAGCAAAATGTTTTTAGATAGACGTATAAAACGTTGTGGTCACACTGAAGTTGTCTTAAGTTTTAGCTATGTTCAAACATATTTAAGTCAGAAGGAACGTGTTCATAGTCAAGAAGGAATGCGAACATTAGAGACTTAAAATTGTCGTGTAACAATGTAGTTTTATAGTGATTTTTTGTCATGAAACAATACATCACGTCACTAACCACAGGTCCGGGTAGTCCTGTGGGTACCCGGGTCCTACTCAGTACCCACCCGACCTGGGTACCCAAGTTACCCGTCCAAGCCCTACTGGAGAGTAACGATAGGTCGTAATGGTACGAATTGTTTGTGGATTAGGGCCTAGTTTCTTTAATGCTGGCCCAAAATGAGGATATGGATTGTTTCACAATAGTCTGTTTTATTCAGTTTTATACACACTTTTACGTGTAAAAAGGCATAAAAACATTTGATACGCTGTATTTGTGCCACGGCCCAATTAGTACTAATTTAGTTATTTGAATATTTACATATTTTGTATATTAACTGCATTTATTTAAGATCTGAGGTCGAAAAAACAGTTCTTTTTCATTTCCGTGAGTACTTTAGGTTCAAGATGCTTTCAAATTGTGACTCAGAGGGGTCCACTCACGTCAAGTTGTCCTGAGTAGGACCAACAGGAGTGTAGAACCCAACTCATTATAGCTGAAATATTGTCGATCCCAGTGTCGAACATTCACTGCAAGTACTCCAAACTTCTCCATGGCCTCGGGAATAGAGCATTTGCCTTCATGGTCTTGTGGATAGAGCGTCTGCCTTCATGGTCTTGTGGAAAGAGTGTCTGCCTTCATGGTCTTGTAGATAGAGTGTCTGCCTTTGTGGTCTTGTGGATAGAGTGTCTGCCTCCGTGGTGTAGTGGGTAGAGCGTCTGCCTTCATGGTCTTGTGGATAGAGTGTCTGCCTTTGTGGTCTTGTAGATAGAGTGTCTGCCTTTGTGGTGTAGTGGGTAGAGCGTCTGCCTTCATGGTCTTGTGGATAGAGGGTCTGGCTTCGTGGTGTCGTGGGTAAACTGTCTGCCTCCGTGGTGTTGTGGGTAGAGTGTCTGTACTTCAGTGTACTCCAAACTTCTCCATGGCCTCGTGAATAGAGCGTTTGCCTTCATGGTCTTGTGGATAGAGTGTCTGCCTTCATGGTCTTGTAGATAGAGCACTGCCTTCATGGTCTTGTGGATAGAGCGTCTGCCTTCATGGTCTTGTGGATAGAGTGTCTGCCTTCATGGTCTAGCGGATAGAGCGTCTGCCTTCATGGTCTTGTGGATAGAGTGTCTGCCTTCATGGTCTAGCGGAAAGAGCGTCTGCCTTCATGGTCTTGTGGAAAGAGTGTCTGCCTTCATGGTCTAGTGGATAGAGGGTCTGCCTTCATGGTTTAGTGGATAGTAGTCTGCCGTCATGGTCTTGTGGATAGAGCGTCTGCCTTCATGGTCTTGTGGATAGAGCGTTTGCCTTCATGGTCTTGTGAATAGAGTGTCTGCCTTCATGGTCTTGTAGAAAGCGCGTCTGCCTTCATGGTCTTGTGGATAGAGCGTTTGCCTTCATGGTCTTGTAGATAGCGCGTCTGCCTTCATGGTCTTGTAGATAGCGCGTCTGCCTTCATGGTCTTGTGGATAGAGCGTCTGCCTTCATGGTCTTGTGGATAGAGTGTCTGCCTTCATGGTCTTGTGGATAGAGCGTCTGCCTTCATGGTCTAGTGGATAGTAGTCTGCCTTCATGGTCTTGTGGATAGAGCGTCTGCCTTCATGGTCTTGTGGATAGAGCGTTTGCCTTCATGGTCTTGTGGATAGAGTGTCTGCCTTCATGGTCTTGTAGA